AATCACTTGATTATTCAGCATATAACAATATTGGGATGGTACCCAGAGGTAAAATAAACCTTAATGTAGACATATTTTCTGCCTTCATGGAACTCTAGGTATAGTAGTGGAAGATGAAGATGCAAATAAGCATTAATGCAAAGTATGATTATTTGGGGTCGAGGGAAATACAAAATACTTGGAGAGTTCACTGTGGGAGGCTGGCTAACCCACACAGGGATGAGTAGGGAAGGCTCGTCAATGAAATAATTGTCTAAATTAGGAGCTAATGAATGATCAGTCATTGTTGGCATAAGAAATAGAGCATGCCAGGCAGTAGTTGTAGAAGCCATATCCTAGGAGAAATAGTAACCCAATGAAGAGTTTTAGGCAGAGGAAGTAGGAGGATGCGATTATTATTATTATTATTATTATTATTATTATTATTGTATTTAGTACAATGTCTACAGGGTCTCACAACATAGATCCAACTCATAGTAATTCTCATATTTTCAGCCTTCCAGCTGCTGGGGTTAGAGGGGTGCACCACCACTCCCAGTCTAAGAGGATGAGATTTACTTATAGTTGAATGCTTGAGAATAGTTTGGGGATAAAGTAAGGCAGAGGATGCAGGAAGACAAGTCAGCAGTCTATTGTGGTAATGAAAGATGGTGACCCCCTTGGCTTGGGATAGTGGAAATGGGATTAGAGAGTCATGGATGGGTTTGGGACAGTAATGTATAGTTGACATCTGGGCCAAGGGTAAGGAGACTCAGAGCAGGGCTCTTCATTAGCCAACTTGGGAACACAAATGAATGGAAGTGGGTTCACTGACATGAAGCATCAGAGAGGGAGAAGTCACAAGTTCAGTTTTTGATAAGTTGAACCTGTATAGCCCAAGAGGAATGGCTAGTAGGTAGCTGCTGTCCATACCTGAGCTCAGACAAGAGGGCTGGGATAGAATATTTGACTGTCATCATCATATGAACATTACTGAGGTCCAGCAAGGAAATGAGATGATCTAAGGAGAATGAGAGGAAGGATTAGAGCCCAGAGGAATTCTGATATTAAGAAATAGGCAGAGAAAGACAAACCTATAAAGGCAACTGAAGGATCAGCACTCAGAATTTTTGGATATGATGGAGGTCAAGGGAAGTGAATTTCAACATCTCCTGGAAGTGTCTGATGGTAATAATTGCAGTTCTATTCCTGACTGAGATCAAGTCAGGTCATTTCTTGGGAATTCATGTAACCAGCAACCCCTGTCATGATTTCAAACAGACTCACTCACAGAAACTCTTTTCAGGAAACATTGTTTTCATGTAATCACGTTCTTAGATAAAATAGCCCACGCTGAGTCATAATTTACCAAGGAGACCCCTATCCCAACTTCCACCTTGCTGTCTCTTTCTAAGTGAAACCCACTGACTTCCTTACATAACTCCCCCTCTTCTTTATCATGTCTCACTCTATTTTCATGTCCCTGTATTTCACTGTACTTCTTCACTCTGAATGTTTTCTGATGGTTGGCCTGAACAGCTGTGTACTTTTCAATGGCAAGTTACCCAGATGTTATGGTGGTAGTAATGCCCCTTCTGGTACCCAGCCATAATGATGTTCTTTAGTCAGCTAGCCTCATTAGCCAGTGTCAGCTTCCTGGCCCGAATTAATGTTTCTCTCTCTCTCTCTCTCTCTCTCTCTCTCTCTCTCTCTCTCTAGCTGGACATGAAGGAGTTATTTTGGCCAGAATCAGATATGCACAGCTGATACGTACAGCTGCACATTCTTTGGTTCCTTTTGGCTCTACAAAAACTCTTGATGTGCTAACAATTTATTCACACAGAGAGCAGTAGGGTGGCCCACCCAGATATTCTTTGAAAGTATTAATAATGGTTCTACCATTTCTGGGATAATCCTGTCAGTTGAATTGAATAGGAGGAATAATTCAAAATATATTGAGAGTCAAAATAAAGGTAGGTACTCCTATAATTTATTTTATTTCTTGATTATTTTATTTTGTGATTATTTTATTATCAATAAATAAGTAACTGTGGCATGGTAGAACTAATTATGTGGTTCACTTTATGAAAAGCTTCCAATATATACACTAAATATATGTATATATATTTAAATGTTTAGTTTTTTGATACAGGGTCTCACTATGCAGTTTGGGCTCATAGTGTTCCTTCTGTCTCAGCCTTCCCAGTGCTGTGATTACAGGCATGCACCACCATGCCTGATTCTGGTGCCAGCATGACATGCAGTACTGGTGATTGAACTTGGGATCTTGTACTTGCCAGGCAGGTGCTTATGCTACCAAACTGTCTCCTTAGCCCCTCACACAGTAAAATTTTGAAAATTTCAAAAATTTTCATCCTGAGAATACTATAAAAGTTCTGATACCAAGTCTAACACAACACAGACAAAGGGATGTATCCATGGCTTTTGATGTTACCTTCAGACCCACCAATTTCCAAATCCACTTCTCTGGGTGTATCTTCTCTTTTATTTTTATTTATTTATTTTTTTTAAACTTTTTTGATTATTATTTATTTATTTGTTTATTTGTGTGTGTGTGTGTGGCCAGCTCAGCCCACCAGGGGGCGGGGCTGGCTGGCATGTGGTGCTGGGGGATTGA